TGGAATCTCCAGGTTAGACAAACCTGTCAGGGATGGTCTAGATAATACTTAGTCCTGCTATGAGTGCAGTGGACTGGACTAGATGACCTCTCGAGGTCTCTTCCAGTCCTATGATTCTATGATAAATATGCTTGTGGACAGGGCTTTAGGCCTAACGGCCCAAGTGAAAAAGCAGGGTACTCTGGCTGTTGTTGCAGAGGCGAGCCAATCTACTATCTGTGCCTGAACATAATAAAGCATCAAGATCTTTAGAAGAGGAGGGACCTTCTTGAAGACTGAAGGGGAAATTTTCAAAGGTGCAAAGGCAGTTAGGTACCGAATTTGCAGTGAAAACCAATTGGGAATTGGGCATCTGTGACACTTTGAGGTTCAACCCAGACCAGTAAGGGGTTGTGTCACTGCCTGCCCTGAAACTTGGAGTGCCTTAAATGCAATGCTGATGTGGCTAACAGCCTTCACATCAACAGCCAGCATACAAGCATGCAGATCACACCCTGGCTTCTACCACCCAGTTACTTTTTTCAGGGTGACCCCAACACTCTCACAGTCCCAAATTGTCCCTAAAACTGTCTGTCCTGCAGTCTTCAGCTCTCGCCTTGATCATTTACAGAAGTGATCCATTTCACTGGCCCCTTAAAGAGAAAATACCTAGCAGCTTATTACATTAACTGTGTTAAGGAACACTATTTTAATCAAAGCACTGAATGGTTTATAGTAAAAGTTAAACAACTTTGTTAAACAAGAAGTCACAGGTTTAAGTTATACCAAGTATAAGGAATAAAGATAGAACGAGTCACAAGCAAACAAAAGTAAAAAATATGCTTCTAAAGCTAAACCTGCTTGTACAAGAGACTCTAGTTTGTTAAAAGATGTATTTCACAGCAAGTCTCTTTTTCCAGCATGGCTGACCAGACTGTGGTCAGCCCCTTCACAGAGCTCAAAGTGCTCGGTTTCTTTATGCCTCCTTAGGTGAAGGATGCTTTGAGCCCTGCAAAATGAAAACTTCCAAAATTTTTTGCAAAATCCCCTTCCCCCCCATTTTTGACCAGCTCCGATATCAATGGAAACCTGATTGATGGGAGAGTTCTTGGAATGCTGTGCTGCTTTGTGTGTTACTGACACTCCGCCACAAGGTTGTCTCTCTGCTGGAGGTAGAGGAAACATCAGTAGAGGTTGTCTCTGCCGATCATCCTTCTCCCTCGGTTTTTCTGCTCTCTTTTTGAGGTCTATTTTGTGCCCCTCTCTGTGCAGAGTCATGAAGTTTAAGGCCAGAAGGGACCACCAGGTCTCTAGTTTGATCTCCTGTATATCATAAGCCACCAACACCACCCAGCACTAAACCCAACAACTGTACTTGTCCTTTTCTTCAGTTCTGGGCTTAGAAATGAGGAAAAGGGGAAAGACAAAGCTGGGCAAGAGGAAACAGGAACAGAGGGAAAAACAAAAGTAAAGAGAAATCTCTGAAATGGGGCCTTACATGCAGGGCTTGCCTGACAGAATTATTACCTCTTTGCTTCCTGGTAGGCAAAGTCACAACACTATAAGTACTTGACTGTCATCATTGGTAGGCTGGGAGAAGAGGAACGTACAACAAATTTCCTTGCCTATATTACAAACACATTACACCGGTGGTTTCCAAATTGTGGTTCCGAGCATGCTGGATGGTCACATGTTGCTGGCTCTCCTTGTTTCCAGCTGCTACATTATATTTAATACAGCCAAAAGTACACACTTTACTAAGAATACTTTTCCAAGTAAGCAATTGCTGTAATTGTCACAGGATGTTACACAATTATGAGTGGGAAGGGAAGAAGCCTGCAAGAGACACTACTAATGTCTCATTTCAGACAATGAAAGTTTTAGAATCTCTGCCTCACATTATTAAAAATGAAAATAATTATAACTTAATTTTCACTATGTTTATTTTCTGCGCTTCAATAGTCCTTTATAAGGAGCAAATCAAATTTGGACAATAAATCAGCCATTATAAACAGACTAGCTACAGTTTAACTTCTAGATTCTCCTATTTTAGTATGACGACAGTGTAACATTGGCAGAGCAGGTGCCAGCTGATCCTGAAGCCACAGGTCAATTCATTTGTGTATTAGCTCCAAGTAATTGTTAAATGTATAAGAGTGTATCTGGCGTTTAAACTTAATGAAAAACGAATGGGTTGTTACTTGCATTGTTTTCACTTATCTGTATCCTGTTATAATGCAATAGCAAACATTTATATTGTAAATACCCCTATAACTAAATAACCCATCAGACAAGAAAGAAGCCTTTTGAAATGCAAATGAAGAACTTCAACAGAAAAATGCTAATTTCAAAGCAAGTGGTCATCATGATGACTGGAGGTCAAAGACTCAAAATGCATTCCTCACTCTCTGTCATCAAAGGAAAAGCCCATGTGAGTAGTGACCCTGTCAGCTTGATTTCTGTGAGAAGAAGCTTTAAGAATGGATTCAAGGAAAGAGCATTCATCTCTAGACTGTTTGGGATGTGTACCAGATGCAAAGCGGAGATCCCAGAGACAATCTGGGTACCCTGAAAAGACTTTTGGGAAACTGGCAGTTTATTACATGACTGCCATCATTTGGAATTACAAAGAGTGACTCACTTGTGCATATATTTTACCTGCTTTAACCTCCCAATAACTCTCATTGCCTTTTCTTAGATAACCTCTAGTTCATTTACAACAGAATTGGCTGCCAGTGTAGTCTTTGGTGTAAGATGTAGAATACCAACTGACCTGGAGGTCTCTTGGGACTGGGGACAACCTTATGTGACGTGATTTTTGGTTTGAGTGACCTTTTACCACAAAGTCCAGTTTGTCTGGGAGGCAAGGCCCCCTGGAGAATCCAAGGGGACTGTCTGTGACTCCATGGTAAGACTGGTAGTGATCTAGGAGTTCACACTTGTTATTGGCTTGGTGAATTCTAATTATAGAACACACTACCAGCTTGGTGTGTCTGCCCTGAGGTTGGCACTCAGTTGTGAGCCACTCCAGAGCATGACAGACAGTATTTGAGTTGCAAAGATATATTTGTTAAATAAACCTATACATAAGAACACAGATGAAAACGAATGGAAATATTTCTGTTGCTCTTGGGTTTCTGAAAACAAATGTCTACAAAATCTAAATTTGGAACCAAATTTGATTTGTTCCTTTAATGGACTATTGCCATGCTCAGGAAAACATGAAACTGGGTTTTCGAAATTGCAATTAAATCATCATGTTCTATTTCTTTTTGAACACTGCTATTTAGCAAAGCCCCTGATTCAGTCCATGATGCTGCCATGATCCAGTATTTGTATTCTCACAATTCATGACCACAGAAACAAAAGTGGCAGAAGCTGGAGGCTGATTAGGAAACAGAGAAAGCTAACCAGCTGCTTAACAGTTTAAAGAGGTTTTAACAAATATGTTTATAGAAGTTTTCCAGGGTTTGGCTACTTTTTCTAAGCTAGAACTTTCTCTCTTGGTTGCTTACGTTGCAGTGATAAGCTTAGCAACAATGTCACTGAGCAATGCCAAATCCTAAAGCAAACAGTATATATAGAGTTTGTTTTTCCGAATTTTTCCCAGTCTTCAGCTAAAATGGTCGTTGTTTTACCTCTGTTTCTTTGTGTGAGCGAGGTGGGATGAAACACAGGCTTGTCAGACTGTATTTATTAAAATATATGGATTAAAGTGTTTTAACCATTGACACCTGGATTCTTGTATAAAATCTGGAAGGTCTCAGACTATTGTACATTAGTGCCTGAATTTTTAACCTCATTCAACCTGATTCACTTTTTTGTATATTTCCAATTGAGACTAATTCATAATAACCGAAAGCTGGTACAGTGAGCTGGTGAAGACACACAATAGCTGCCTGTTCCATACCTAATGTGGCTGTACTTTAGCTTATTATAAATTATATTAGTTACAACACATATACTAATAAAGCCCAGATATCCCAAGATACTTGACCCTAACTTTAAATCCTTTACCTAGCTAAGGTGCAACTTTGTCCCTGGCAGAAGAATCTTCCTAATGCTTTGCTGGAAATCTTCCACAGGTGAGAGAACAAAAGACCAAAGATATCCATGGTTTGAATTAACTGGTAATTTTATATACCAATTTAGGATATAGTTAAGATAAAAGCAATGCGTTGGAAACTCTTATGTTGCTAAGTGGACTCATCACAGACGAGCGAGACCCCAACCATTCAGTAAAACCACCCAAAGATCAACTTTAAAAAGCTTGCCCCCAAGAGTTATCCTCCATCCCTGCACCAGCGTTGGCAGCATATATTGTTCAACAGAGCTTACATGCAGAGGTATTATAGGAGCAGCAATGCTGCTCAATGCTAGCTTAGTGAACATGCTGAGGGTACCATGTGGCATAGTTGCTACCACAGTACTATGAAGAAGATATAGTCACTTTGAAATTACAATCCTATTTCAAACTCTGTACTGGTCTTAACTGCAGAACTCTTGAAAAAGCCAAGAAATGCTGCATCAGAATTCTGTCACGGGAAGGAGCTTAATCAATTTGGATTTCAGTATCACTTGTCACAGTGGAAACAACATTACTAAAAAATAAATAATTTGGTTCATCAAGGCAGAAAGCCAGTCCTTCTCCTAGAATTTGTGACGGGTAGGAATACCATTTTTGGTCCAAAGAAAAAAGGCTACCCTTTCAGTTATGCATTTTACATTGTAACAAATCCACTGTTTAAATTAATGGTTTTAACTTTTGATGCTTCTCAACTTTCTCCTCTTCTTACCCTCTCTACCCACACATAATGATCTGTTTAAAAGTTATTTTGTTAATTGCAAGTACCCCAAAAAGAAAAAAATGTAAGTGGAACTTAAATATAGTTCTAAATTGTTCACCTAGGATTAACTACCTTTTGTCAAAAGGTTCATGCCTTCTTTTGAGATATAACTAAAACACTTTGTATTCAGAGGATAGAATACAATCAAACGACTGAATGCTTTTATCCACTGACCAGTATATGATCCACTCTGTCCCGTTTCTTGCGTCCAAACTTCATCATCTTCTGCCAATCTGTTTTGTGATTAGATTCCTTCCTCAAGCTGAACAATTTCAGTACTTCAGCTGCAATGAAACTCTAGGGGAAAGAAAAGAGTTAATATTGTATTTGAGGGAAGAAGTGAATCCCGTACAGAGCACCTGCCCTTCAAAATCTGATCTTAAAATACAGGGTGGATTTCTGTTTAACTGTGAGATGTACATTGCAGTGCAAGAGATTTACAATGGAAGCACTGAGCTATAACCCTATCTTAGAAGCAACATTATGCAGTATGTATACTATATTTTAAAAAGGGCTGAAAAAAAAATTTAGCCCTTAGAACTTTGACTAACCGTAGAGCACAACTTTCATTTAAACGATACAGTAAACTGGAGTCTAAAACTAATTCAGTTTATGAAAGGAAAGAGAGGGTGGTAAAACAAAAACCAAAAGAGTACCATCTTTACACAATTGCTTTTCAGCAAATAACCACTCTTGAAACCTCTCTGTGCTCAAATGCTACATCTGTTAAACTCCAGGTAATGCTTGCCTACCTACATACAGCATTTTGTGGGCTACAAATGAAAAAATGCTATATAAGCATTATATGATATGAGAACAGTCTCAATTTAATAGCATCTTTCCTACCTTGATCTCATCAAGATCATTTGGATCTTTTACTCGCCGGAAGTAAGTGGAGGTAATTCTACATGGTTTCATCCAAATAGGTTGATTCAGATTAGGATCCTCAGCAAAGATTTCCCGAAAAATCTCTCTCGTCAAGTCAAATACCGCCTTGACAAAAAGAAAAAGGTCAAAATTAAAACTTCAGCTTCTGAGGGCAAGTATCCAGGGGATAAGATCAATGTTCCCCAGGGTTGTACCTGTTTATAGACCTTTTTGCTTATAGTCTCGATGTCCTGCTCTTTGGTGGTATTACTAAGGTCTATGGGAAGGCTGATATTCTGAAGATCATGACCCAGCTCTTTCAACTTCCACAGCTCCTCAGCTGCTGCATGCACCATGCCTTCTACTTCCACTGCAGTATGTGGAACAGCCAAAGGCTCCTCACATGGCTTAGGTGGCACTTTTTGTGGCTCTGTCTTGGGCAGCACCGCTGATTCTTCAGTTTGTTTCTGCGGAACCTTGTGGGAGCTCAAGCCAAAGTCCTCATCAAACCAGTCTTGATCATCTCCTAACACACTCAGGAATTCCCGGCTGAGCTCCAGTTCTGCCAGCCTCTTAGCAAGCTCTTCCTGTCCACTGGCACCAAACACTGGACTCTCCTGTGGAATAAGAAACAGAATTACAGAGTTACTATTCAAAGCAGTAATGTACTCTATTGCGCATCAAACACGTCTTATAATTCGATTTTGAAATGTACTTCTGATATGATTGTTAGTGTTTATAAAGCACTTTTGAATAATTATCTCAAAAACCCCAAACCAGTGGAAACATTTGATTCTACTCATATACCTGCACTTTCATCATTTCTTCCCCAATGTTTTTGAAAAGTTACTAGGGAGTTTACAACAGAGAGAAGCATTTTTAAAAATAGATCATCTCTTCTTGTTGCTCATTCTGCCCTGAAACCAATTTGTTTGTGAGGGGCTGGGTGGCTCAACAGTTTGGTAATGGAATATGTAACTTTTCACTTCACTTACCACCAGTATCAATCTAGCTTAAATCAGTAGACTAAAAGCCATTACAAACTGACGGCTGTTTGGTGGCGTATGTGAAAGTGAGCTGGTGCTTTTTGTGATAGTAACATATTGAGAATATCACCACAGTTATCAGCTTTGTTAGGAGCTTCAGCAAAGAGGCCATGTCTTATCTTCTTACCCTTAGAGGTGGTTCTGGGGAAGCTTGAACTTCCACTGTTCATGATATATCTGTCCAGTGGATATAAAACTTCACTTATCAGAGAGCTGTTAACCCAGCATCTTTAGCAGCTTGACATCTTAATGATCTCTATAGCAACTAATTGTAAGGTCAGAGGATGATTATTTCATATGGAGAGTAAGCAGAAGCAAACTTACTCTTCAAATACAAGAGAGTCGGCGTTCATAAAGATTCAATTAGGATTATGAAAAACAGGGTAGGCTAATACAGGAAAGATGATATATGTAAGCAGAATGCTCTTTAAGTAGAATGTTTTTCAGTTTTTCATGTGATATGAGTAGGTGTTTCATACATCTTTGTAAATCTCCAAAATGTTTCAGAATGTACCATAAAGTGACACACACACTGGAGATCACCTGACAACACTTGGGAGGAACAAAATTGGTAGAAAACAAAATCCTCAGATTCAATAATTATCCAAACAAACAAACAATTAATATATTAGCTTTTGAAATCAATGCAAGCTATATACTCACTGGTCTGGGACACATATCTGGAGAGGAAACTTCTTCTCTTTCATCTTCCAATTCAGAACTTAAAAAAAAGTTCTGCAGGCCCTTTGCTACCTGCTCCTCCACATGCTGGGCTGGGGTTCTGGATGATAATTCCTCTTGGACATCACAGAGCTCCTGATTGCTAAGATGAATCTTCTCATTCCTGACCTTCTTGATTTGCTGTAGCTGATTGACAGTGTCCTTAACAAAATCCTTAAGTAGACTGTCTGTCAACAAGCAGACCTTTTCTAGCTGGTCTTTTGACTTCTCTTCCTCTCTAAGAGGCAGTCTAAGTTGGGCTTCTAATTGATTCTTTTCCTTGGTCAATAGGTCCAGAAGTGGAGTTGCAGGCTTTTCCAAAACTCCAGAAGAAAACTTATCTGACTTTTCAGTACATTCCTCCCTTGAGGACTGCTGCCTCCCCAGCTTTTCAGACAATATACCATCTGAGGTACCTTCCAATAGAATGGTGGTAACATTTTCTATAGTAGAAACAGACAGTGCATGGACAATCTCATCTTTTACAGCATCTTTCAGGCAGTCCACCACAGACTGCTCTTTGGCAAGTGGTCTAACAGCTGTGAAAACCTCCTTTATATCGTTTACTTCAGAACTGGTGTAATCATCAACTTTTTGTCCAACAGAGGCTTCTAAAGCAGTCATACCTGGTGGAGCTTTATCTTGGGACGATTTCTCAGTTGCATCTCTTCCCTTGCTTTCTTCATCTTTGCCAGATTTGGAACTTTCTTTGTCTTTCTGCTCGGATTTGTGGTGCTGACCCAATCTGTCATCAAAGAACGAGTCTTCATCTTCATTTGTGTCTATATAGGTATCAAAACTTTCTAAAATGTGAGAGATCTTTTCAGGAGGAGCAAAAATACCATGCTTTTCCTTACAATCAAAATATTTAATACCATCATAAGTCCCATTGTTGTTTCCTTCAGGTTTATCCAGTTCCACACCAGCCCAAAACCCTTTGGCAAAACTGGTCAGACCTTTGAATCGCAGTGTTCCAGGCTGGACGTTACTCACAAGTATCCGGTCACCAATGCTGAAATTTATCAGTGTGTTTGCTTCTTCTGTGATGGAAACTGAGACCCAAAGTGGTGATTCAATGGGGGATTGTTCTTTCTCCACATCACTGCGTTCTTTATTTTTTATGAGCTCTGTTGGTGACTTGAGTTCTAATAATCTCTCTGAATGCACACTGCCAGAGACAGAGAGAGACTTGTCACTGAGATATTCACTGATTTCATCTTCACTGCCAAGGCTGGTGGATCTGCTTCTAGGGGGTTTTGTATGCTGTGATTTCTCTCTAAGTGACTGAGAATCTTTTCTCTGTGACAATGTAGGCATCTCAAAATCATCTTTGTAACATTCAGCAGAAGGAGTTTCTTCAACTGATGTCTCTTTTCTGGGGGAGGACCCCACAAAATCTTCAGAGTATGATGGCTCTTTTTGAGTAAAAACTTGTTCTGGAAGAGAGAAGTCTTTTTCCTGTGCCCACTTGCTCAAGCTGAGAGAGGACTTTTCTGATCTGTCACTTTGATCACTCCCTACATCATCTTTGATTGTCTGTCTCTGTTTTGAGATCTCTTCTCTACTCTGAATATTTTCAGCAGTCAAGCTAAATAGTTCCTTCTGAGACTGTTCAGTGTCAGAGTGAAGGTCTCTCTTTGGAAGGACTTCTGGTAAGCTTTCCTGGTGTATATCTAGCATCAACAAGGCACCAGAACTCTCTGAATGTTTATTATTAGCATCTTCAACCTCGGATTCTTCTGATTTTATGTACTCCATCTCCTCTTGTATATCAGATTTGTGATTAGACACAATATCATCACTGGATACATCTTCTGACTTGCTCACTAACACATGGGATACTTTGCCACTATCTCTTAGATCTTGGAGAAGAGCTGATATGGGCACACTGTCCAAGGAATCACCAGATTCAGCTCTGGATCTCCTTGGTGACTTGAAGACTGGGGATAGGGTTCGGGAAGGTTCTTCTGTATGAACCTCTGAGTCAATGAGTCTCTTGATGTGTACAGACACAGACCTCTCAGAACTTGATGATACAGCATCTTAAATAAAAAAAAATTAATCATCACAATACTAAATCATCCAGAATAATCTTTTGATATCTTGTAATCCTATCAGAGCAAGGTGTGATCAAGAATGCCTGTTATTTTATTGGGAAACTGCAGCCAAAGTTAAACAGCTGTTCAGTCAAAAGATTTGAGACAAAAGGATATTAACAGGGATCTGTGAAAGTTTCACAGGCTCCTGGACTGTCCTGTAAATAATAACAGCATCCTCTGTATTCCGTATGTATTATGTCTCCATAGCTTTCTTTCTAACCTCCTACCTCTGCTGCTGTTCTGTGAAAAGTTTATTATTGTGAAATGGGACTTTGTTATAGGAGGTAAAAGCTCAGGTATTTGTCTGGAAGTCACAAAGGTAAACAAGGTTATAAATGTATGTGGAGAGATAAACATTAATAGTAAACCACTGAAAAATATCTGAACAAAAGAAGAAAATCTTTAATTGTTTTTGGCTTCTTCAAGGGCAGTGTTCTCAAATTAAATGATGCTGGGAAACACAAAAGGCAAAAAGAAAAACAGTTGTCATACTCTTGATGTTTCACATAAGTCTCAGCAAGGACAGAACCAAATATTTGTGGTTCAGCACATTGTTTGCTTTTGCTGTCTCCTAAGTTGAAGTGATACAGCAAGAAGAAAAAGCCAAGATGCTATCATTTCTTCTTAGTTAAAATATTCTTCTAAAATTTACCATTTTCTTTCCACTATGTTTTGGCTGTTTATTATTAAAGTCTCTTAAAAGAAGAGACCCAAATAAGATGCTTTACAGCTAAGGGGAAGAATAGTGAAATTTGTTCTTCAGAAGATTAATGTTAGAATCAAAACAAATGTAAATGTGAAAAAAAATACAACTATAAAGAAAAAGTGTGTATTATGCATTCAATTTTGACTTAACCACTCTCTCTAAATCCCTTCTCACCTTGCAGCAAACAGTGAGAGATTATGAAAGAATGGGTATTTTTCAAAACACAGTGAATAGAATTCTTCAAGATTTATGAAAGGACGCCTCCATCTGCAGCATTTATTTTCCAGTTACATACCAACATGCTCTGCAATGGATTCCAAAGATACTCTGGACCGCTCTGACTCAGTCAGTGATTTCCAATTCTTGGTTGTCTCAGGCCTAGGGTTGAAAAGTCAATAAAGTGAACCACCAATGTTAGATGTTAGAATCACTAGTCATAGTGTAAGTGCAAACAGCAATAATTACAGAATCATGTACCCCAATGCAAAAGTGCATTAAAGGTGAGATGACTATAGAAAGTAATTATAAAGGTGCGTGTATGTATGCGTGGGATACGATACATTCTGGGGAAGGTTTCTTTCTAATAAAGATTAGCTTAGTAAGAAATATTACCCTTTGCAGTTGAGAGCATGTAAACCTACTACTGAGAGGCCAATGGGATTTTTAGCACCATCTCTTGGGGTGGGAAACAGAACCACAAGGAGATGCACCAAGAGGTGTAGTGGGTTAATGCACTGTTTACCTCTGAAACCCTGGGTTGTAAACTAGGTTTAAGTTATAAGTATGAATGGTTTCTACGGGGGGGTGGAGTGGGGGAGGCACCTGCACAGGGGGCCAGGAAGAGAACTGTCCAGGTCAGAAAGCCATCCATAATATTTGTCACAATTCCATATAGCCAGGAGCTGCTGCTGCTCAGAAAAACCTAGATTAGGACACCGGGATGAGGTAGGACAAGAATAGAATACCCTGACACTGTGCATGAGAACTTTATACAATGCTTGTCTGAATGACGATGTGTTTGCTGACTGGGCTAGCATAAGGCATCAACACACTGCCATTCTCCAATGGCCTAGGGAGCTGTGGTCTTCAGGTTTCCTCCCTGTGATTTTCCCCTATACCAATGATTGCTGCACTTTCTGAGATAGCATCAACTTTCCCTCTCCCCCCCCAAATGCTATTGAGTGTTCACACACACACAAACCCTACATTCTAATACATGTTTTGTTTAGTTTCAGATAGATTAAAGTTCTCCAAGTACATAATAGAGATCTATTCTCTTGAGGAACAGAGAAGCTTGCAACGTACTTTTCTTCCATGCTCATTCAGAAGTATCTTCACACAACTACTTTATATTACAACTGTAGCACACTCTGGAAAAGGCATTTGTACAGTTGACCTAGAAAAATGCTAACAAGGTAATGTTAAATTACAAAGAGAGTTCCAAGTTACCTGTGGAGTGGAGGTGGCTTGATTTTAGGTTTTTCAGTAGATGAGGATGGAGTTTTAATCTGAGGTTTAGCTGTGGGTGATGCCTCCAGGTCTTGGCTCAGCTCTGCTTCAGTCTTCTTTATGAACTCATCATAAGACTGAGTGTGAAAAAGTTAAGATTGTTAATTTTCCAAATCATAACTTCTTGGAAGAGTCAATCAGCAAACAGAAGTTATCAAATGAATAAAGCGCATCCTTTCCTTTTAGAAGACTGCTCTCAAAGCAAGAAGTTTTCATGTGCGTATGGACAAATATACCTCTACCCCGATATAACGCGACCCGATATAACACGGGTTCGCGTATAGTGTGGTAACCCCGGAGCTGCGGCAGCGGGGCTCGGAGTTCTGGCTGTTGTGGGGAGCCCCGGGGCCTTTAAATCACCGTTGGAGCCCTGCCGTCGCTACCCCTACCCCGGGGCTCTGGCAGCGGGGCTCGGGTGGTGATTTAAAGGGCCCTGGGCTCTTTAAATCACTGCTGGAGCCCTGCTGCCGCAACCCCGATATAACGGGGTTTCACCTATAACGCGGTAGGGATTTTTGGCTCCCGAGGACCGCGTTATATCGGGGTAGAGGTGTAGCTTATTTGCACAAGTATCAGCTCTTCAGTTGCGAGTGGCTGGAGTTTTAATATTTTATTATTATAGACTCCAACAGTGTCTGTCAAGTCTGAGTCAATATACTACTTAAAAAAAAAACCAAAAAAAACAAAACCCGAAAAACCCAACCCCCCTACATCATTTTACTGGTGGATTAGTCTTTTATCCTGAAGAGGATTGTCCACCATATCAGTACCACATGGGCTACTGTAGAATTATTGGAAATATTTAAACCAGTACCAGAATGGTGGTGCTGCTGTCATAACAAGGTGCATCAATAAGCACAAGAGAAAGGATTTCTTCAGCAACTGACTGTAATATACCAATTCACACTATGCTAGCAGTTTGACTTGTTACTTAGCCCTTCTAACTGTTCCTAACCTCTAGCTGTTTGATCAAACTGGCCTCCTGGGCTTTCAGCCTCTCCTTCTGCCTCTTCTTTTGTTCCTTTTTCAGCTGATAAACAACAGACTTCCTCTTCCGTAGCTCATCCTTTAGGGCCCTGATCCGGCCTTCAATGTCACTCTGGTCAGATGTGGTTTCTGAAAAAGATAGTTTAGTTTTAACCCTCAAATAACCTCACACATTACAAGTATTGCTATCCAAAGTACAGAATCTTCAGTTAATGAATTACATCACATAAAATATTAGTAAAATAATTTTTTTTTAACATGCTTATCTCATCAAAATAAAGACTTCCTAAGTAAGCATCTCTTATTTTAACAATATCACATCACATATGGTAAGGAAGAAAAACGCTACACCAGACCGTACTGAGTTTGGCAAAGACATGATGTATAAAATGGTTATGTTCCTAGTTATCTTGTACATCCTTAAAAAGCCAAAGTCACTTAACTTTGTGATTCCTACACTGAAAGAAGGCATTAGAGACATTGCTGAATAACCAAGATAGATAACTTTCAAACACAGCAGCAATTCTATGATACAAAAGGCACACAATTAAACAAACGCATGTCTTGGGTGGGCTCTGTGCTTATCCTACAGGTATATTTCAGAAAATCTACACAAGCTGGTATTTGCAAACGCATTTAAAAATAGTTTAAAAAATACAAAAGGTAAAAAGTGTAAAGTGAATGAAAACTTTCTGTCCTCATATAGCACATGTAATCTGAGAATCCCAAACTGCTTTACAAAGATGGGTATTCTTATACCCATTTCGAGATAGAAAAACTGAGGCACAGGGCAGTTAAGTGAATTGCCCCAGGTCAGCATGTCAGTGGCAGAACAGGAAGTAGATTTTAGGCCTCTTAATTCCCTGTCCTATAGTCTAGACCACACAGAATTGAGATGTTGAAAGTGCAGGCACTGTTAAATAAACAAAAACAATACATAGGTATTTTCTCCATTTAACTAATGCATATTAGCCTACTCAATGACAAACTTAGGGCATGTCTTCACTTGGGGCTGGGGGCGTGATTCTCATCTTCAGGAGACAAACTCACACTAGCTTTCATTGAGCTAGCACGCTACTAACAGAAGGCAGGACAGGTTAGCTGCCCCAAGGATGTGCGTACGGTTTTTCAGGGGCACATATTCAGAATGACTGGCCTGTCCTGCAGCTCATGCTGCTGCAGCTTCATTCTAGTTTTGGTGTGCTAGCTTGATGAAATGTGAACAAGTGTGAATTTGTCTCCTGAAAATGGGAATCACACCCCCAGCTCCAAGTGTAGACATACCCTTATGCTATGAAGGTGGCATAGAATGGACTGAATCTGATCTACAGAAGAATATCAGCATTGAAAATTAGCTCAACATTCAGAACGATGCTGTGTGTCTAGAATGCAAATGGTTAATTTATAGATAAGAGAAATGTGTTTCAAATATATATTTTAGATATAATAAGTATCTGAAAGTCATTGCTTCCTCTCCCTACTTAGCAGTATGTAAGTTCAGGCTTCTGTGTTTTGTTAAGGACATCACAGACACACATAGCACAAGCATCCAGTAACCTTTACTCAGTTCTCATTAATTCAATTCAATGAGCACTTGTCTGGATAAAGACTTAAAGATTTGTCATTAACTGCTTGTGGTGTCAACTGCTGCAGAGGAAACAGTATTTTAATCTTATGTTTTTCAGTGTGACACTTCTTTTTAAAGGTTTAAGAATGTATATATTTTTTAAATTTGTGTTTAAAGGCTTTTAAATTCACCTTAAAAACCCTTATGCTACATGACGTATTATTTTAATGGCGAGTATTTAATTTGTAATAGTATGGTCCAGAAGTAAGCTAGGTCTCTTGCAAACTATAGATGGAGTACAGTAAAGACCACCGGGTTTTAAATCTCCTGGACTAAACAAATTCACTAGGACTGGAGGATGACTAGTTAAGTTCAGTTAGAAAGAGAAGCAGTTTGACTGTTAAACCCTCCTGTTTGACAACTTATTTCTGGAGTTCTCACACTTAAGCGTACAGAGAACCACATCTTTAGAGAGATTGTCTCATGGGCCACCTTACATTCCATTCACAACTGCATGGATCACTTATGCTCCTAGTCTCAATTTTGCAGATGACCTATTATGTCATTCATAACAACAATATCCCTGTGGTGAATGTAGCCACTGCGCACTTGAACAAATATTTTCCTTTTCCTTTAAAAAGGAAATCACATGGTTTCCTTTTGCAATTTCATTACCATCCGTTCTGTTCCTCTTCCCCTCCCCCATGATTCCCTACTGTCTGGTCTTCCAATCCTCCTGGTGGTGCTCTCCCTCTATTCCATTGGAAGTCGTGCTCAGCTGATTGATTCCCTTCTCCACAGTAGAGTCGTCACCATTAATATAATTGTTTTTGTATTTCTGTAATGACCAAGGCCCAATCAAGACTGTGTAAACTCATAGAAAGGCATTTCTATGAAACTCATAGCTGATGCTTCCTTGTGCATCCCCATCTGTCTGTATCTACTTGTTGTGTCTTGTTTTATACTTAGGCTTGGTCTACCCTATCTACTTATGCCAGTATAACTGTGTGTGGATTTTCCACACCCCAGAGTGATGTAGTTATACTGATCTAACTCCTGGTGTAGACAGCACTATGTTGACGGGACACACTCTCCCGTCGGCATAGGTAGCATCTTCTCTAAGCGCTACAGCAGTGCAGCTCCACTGGACAGTTGCACCACCGCAGCGCTGTAAGTGTAGACAAGCCCTTCGGCTGTAAGCTCTTTGGAGCAGGAGTCTGTTCTGTGCAGTGATTTCCCTCCTGAATTTCCCCAATCCCCCCCATCCCCCCCCAGTTTTGTGAACTAGTTAGATGCCAAACCTGGTGGCTGAACTTTGTGACTTTGTCCTCACCCACAACTATTTAACATTTGGGGACAATGTATACCTTCAAGTCAGCGGCACTGCTATGGGTACCCGCATGGCCCCACAGTATGCCAACATTTTTATGGCTGACTTAGAACAATGCTTCCTCAGCTCTCATCCCCTAGTGCCCCTACCAGTGGCGTAGCCAGGTTCTAAGAGCAGGGGGAGCAAACATTAAAAAGGTGCCCCCCCCTGGCCCCTCCACCGGCCCCCCCCCCTCCCCCCCCCCCCCCCCCGCCCCCCCCCCCTTGGCTCCTCCAGCCGTGCCACCCCCACCCATGGCTCCTCCGGCCGCGCTGCGGGCTGTCATGCTGCCCCCCGCCCCGCTCCTCCGGCTGCGCCGCCCGCCCCCCCGCCATGGTTCCTCCAGCCGTGCTGCCCCCCCTTGCCTGCAGGAGCCCAGCGCCGGCCCGGCAGGCCAAGCTTCAGAGCAGAGTGTGGGCCCCGCCCACTGGCGCCATGGTAACCCCTAACTAAGGCGCCGCTTTTGGAAAATGTGCTGAGGGGAAGCGGCTGCTTCCCCTGCACCTCCCCTAGCTACACTACTGGCCCCTACTCTACTTGCACTACATTGATGACATCTTCATCATCTGGACCCATGGAAAAGAAGCCCTTGAGGAATTCCACCATGATTTCAACAATTTCCATCCCACCATCAACCTCAGCCTAGACCAATCCACACAAGCGGTCCATTTCCTTGACACTACTGTGCTAATAAGCGATGGTCACATAAACACCACCCTATACCGGAAACCTACTGACCGCTACACTTACCTACATGCCTCCAGCTTCCATCCAGGACACACCACACGATCCATTGTCTACAGCCAAGCTCTAAGATACAACCACATTTGCTCCAATCCCTCAGAAGAGACAAACACCTACAAGATCTCTATCAAGCATTCTTAAAACTACAATACCCACCTGCTGAAGTGAAAAAACAGATTGACAGAGCCAGAAGAGTACCCAGAAGTCACCTACAACAAGACAGGCCCAACATAGAAAATAACAGAACGCCACTAGCCGTTACCTTCAGCCCCCAACTAAAACCTCTCCAGCGCATCATCAAAGATCTACAACCTATCCTGAAAGATGATCCCTCACTCTCACAGATCTTGGGAGACAGACCTGTCCTCACTTACAGACAGCCCCCCCAACCTGAAGCAAATACTCACCAGCAACCACACACCACAGAACAAAAACACTAATCCAGGAACCTATCCTGGCAACAAAGTCTGATGCCAACTCTGTCTACATATCTATTCAAGTGACACCATCATAGGATCTAATCACATCAGCCACGCCATCAGGGGCTCGTTCACTTGCACATCTACCAAAGTGATATATGCCATCATATGCCAGCAATGCCCCTCTGCCATGTACATTGGCCAAACCGGACAGTCTCTATGCAAAAGAATAAATGGACACAAATCTGACATCAGGAATCCTAACATTCAAAAACCAGTAGGAGAACACTTCAACCTCTCTGGCCATTCAGTAACAGATTTAAAGGTGGCAATTTTGCAACAGAAAAGCTTCAAAAACAGACTCCAACAAGAAACTGCTGAACTTGAATTAATATGCAAACTAGATACAATCAATTTAGGCTTAAATAGAGATTGGGAATGGCTGACCATTGAATCTATTTCCCCATGTTAAGTATCCTCCCACCTTCTTGTCAAACTGTTTTAAATGGGCTATCTTGATTATCACTACAAAAGTTTTTTTTCCTCCTGCTGACAATAGCTCATCTTAATTAATTAGCCTCTTAGAGTTGGTTGGGCAACTCCCAACTTTTCATGTTCTCTGTATGTATATATATCTCCTCACTATATGTTCCATTCTATGCATCCGATGAAGTGGGCTGTAGCCCACGAAAGCTTATGCTCAAATAAATTTGTTAGTCTCTAAGGTGTCACAAGTACTCCTGTTCCTTTTGCGGATACAGACTCACACAGCTGCTACTCTGAAACATGCCAATTTAGTGACTGTTTGGAAATCTGAATTGAAATTGAAACATTAATACACACTTTAAAAGCATATACAATGTATGATAAAATACGTGTATCTGAAAAAGTAGAATAGATTTGAAAAGTATGAACATAGACTAGCTTCCTTATACAGCTGTTGTTTTTTATGACAATGTCAGTGCATTCATTTCAGTGATGTTGGCCAACCTAATAATTTCAAATGATGATTTGTAAGCAAAGTCTAAAT